GAGGTCATGTGGATTTGATGTTGTGGTGTATCAATTTATACAGAAAAATAATCTTGAAAACCGTAATTTTTCTGAGATAAAATAGTTAATGTTTTTCTGCTGATATTTTAGATTTGGCTCTTGATTTACTTGAATTCAACGAGAAATTGGCATGGGAAGAAGAGAATAACAATCCTTTGGAGCAGATGGCCAGTGATCCGGGTGGTTTCAAAAGTGGAATTCGCTTGAGCAGTTGGCAGTCCTTAATCTACTTGTATTCATGTATCTCTGAGTATCCTTTCTCTCCATTATTCATTATCAAATATGTGTATCTTGTTTGCGTACTATTTGTCTGGCAAAGATATTCACAATACTGGTACTTCGATTCTCAAATTTTCAGCATTTCTAGTTATAATGTCTTGTAGACTCCAAATTTTTCAGCATTTCTAGTTATAGTTAATGTCTTATGGGTTGGGTCAGCCCACCCGAGCTCAAAGCCTTTTTTGCATGATTGTTGATTATAATGTTGTTTCAGAACCAAGGGACCAAAAGAAACAAGTTTTATCTTTGGAATAAATAAATCATATCTACTACAATGGATTTTAATCAATTGTTTGTATTGTAGATGTTCCCACAAAGCGGAATGGGATGACAGAGTATTCACCATCTGAAGGTATTATGAAATCACTAGATTCCTCCATCTTTAGATAGAGTTTACTTCTGGTCTTCAAAAGGTTGTTTTGCAGTGTACAAGACGGTCTGGAATCTGCTTGCCAAAGTTCTAGGTAAGAATATACATAAGCAGTCACTTAACAAAGAAACCAAAGAGATTATTTAGTCATGAGGTAACTAGTGGGATTGTTGCAAATGCAGTTCAAAATATGGACATTCCTGCACTAAAATTGAAGCATCATCGTGCACTTCGACTAGTCCAGTCCGTATGCTCAACTATTATAACAATGGGTGAACCCCAAACGAAACTTGGAAAGCCATTACTTTTAGGGGCACAGAATGGAATAGAAGAGATTGTCCATGAAATTCTAGAGTCTCTTCCTACCGCAATAACTTATACAAATGATAAGAAGCGTTCAATATTTCATGTTG